AGATTGGGCTGAGTATCTGGCCAAAATCATGCAGTGAGCTTCGTGGCCATGTGGTGACTTGAAAAAAATCCCCAACTCAAAGTCTATATAAATAACAAATCCACCATCTGTGATCCCACATGTATTCTTAGCAGTAAGCAATGGTGGGATTCAGCAGAACCGGTAGCTAATTTTTTGTTGCCCAGGCCCAGAATGGACTTCCAGAAGCGGCATCCACACAGAGAACCGGATGTTCACATATTTGAATCCCACCACTGGCATTAAATCATGTTGAGTTCAATGACATATATTACAAGACCCACCATGCTCGATCAGTGTGTGTTACCTGTTCTAACATATGCTAGCAAAACATGGACACCAACCTCACGATCGATAAAAAAGCTACGAGTGGTGCAAAGAGCCATGGAAAGGTATAAGCTCGGCATCACAAGACAAGATAGAAGGACCTGCACATGGATTGGAGAACAAATGAAAGTATACGATATCATCAAGAGAGTGAAAGAATTAAAATGGAAATGGGCTGGTCACATAGCAAGAAGAACTGACATGGCAGGTGGACCAAGGAAGTCAGAGAATGGATCCCACTTGATAAAAAGAGTCCACGAAAGAGACCTACGACACGATGGATTGACGACATCAAGTGTTGAGGGCCCAATTGGCAAAAGAAAGCTCAGGACTGTACTGGTTGGAAACAGGACAATAGACAATGGCTAGACAATGATGACTGACAATAGACAATGGCTAGAATGATGAATGAATGATAATGACAACTCTAAGGCTCTAGGGTGGCCTTTGGCTTAATAACAACATCCTTTTGCAGGTGTTCAGACCTCTTCCTTCTTGGGTGAAAAATAGGTTTTAGTAATAGAAAATACATTATATCAGCGAAAAACAGATTGTCCCCATACACTGCCTGCTTCTGTTCCTTTGCAGTCTCTCAACAGATTATCCCCTTAACAGAACAACCCTTAAGAGACTCCAATGCTCTGCAGTGAGAAATATAGAATATAAATAAAGGCATAACTCATTGTTTTGATAGCTATTCTTTAGTAATGCCTTAATTGCTTTTTGTGTTGTCTATGTTTTTATAGTCGGGGATTTTTAAGATGACCTGGTACGGTATCTGTAAAATCAAGCGATAGGAAAAAAGCTATTTAAATCATTCCTTTTCATCTTGTTGCAGCGAATGTGTTCAAACACCATAAAGCAGACATGTCAAACTTGCAATGTCACGTGACATCATGCGACATATCAGAGCTTTTTCCCCATTGCTGGCAATGGGGTGGGTACGGTTTCATCGTGACTCGTCCGGCCCATGGGCCAGCAGTTTGGCATCCCTGCCATAAAGAATCAATACTTAACTTTCAAATGGTCATTTAAAAAAACAACAAAGCAAATAGAAATAATACAGGTAGTTGTTAACTTACAATAGTTCATTTAGTGACCAAAGTAACAGCAACATTGAAAAAAATGACTTATGATCATTTTTCACACTTACGACCATTGCAGCATCCCCGGGATCATGTGATTAAAACTCAGATACTTGGCAACTAACCTATATTTATGACGGTTGCAATGTCCCGGGGTTATGTGATCACTTCTGCAACCTTCTGACAAGCAATGGGGAAGCTAGATTCACTTAGCAACCATGTTATTAACTGCAGTGATTCATTTAGCAACTATGGCAAGAAAGGTCGTAAAGTGGGACAAAACTCAGTTAACCAATGTCTCACTTAGCAACAGAAATTTTGGGCTCAGTTGTGGTTGTAAGTTGAGGACTACCTGTATATATTTATAACAACCTGAATTATTTTTTAAGAAGTTTTTTTTCCCCTGTAACACATGATGGCAGTAAAGTAGAGGAAATGTTACAGCATCTGCACAGAAAACTTTACTTTTTGTCCATCTACAGAATTGGATGATTCCAATGATTTGGGTTTTCCCCATCTGGGATGATGGCAGACTCTTCCTTATTAGTAAGATAAGGACATATAAGCATGATGGATAATCAAATTAATTAACTATTAAGATAAGCTAAACTAAGCTGAGATGAGATAAGATAACATTTATTGTCATTTTTTTACTGTAGCCACACTGGCACACATTAAAAATGAAATTCTGTTGCATGCTCTCAAAAGTGTACGCAAATATAACACACATATAAACATGATATATATATGTATGTATGTATGTATGTATGTAGGTCTTTGGTTATTCAGGTTTTCTCCTGCGTCAAATTGGAAGTGTCTTGGCGACGTTTCGACGAAGTCAAAGCCTGAAGATGATGAATAGGACTTTGTCGAAATGTCACTAAGACACTTCCAATTTGATGCGGGAGAAAACCCGAATAACCAAAGACCTACATACAAATACCTGCGAAAACCTCAGAAAACAAATATGTATGTATATGTATACACCTACACCCTTACATATAAATATATATAAATATTAATCACTATCCATCTTGAATACATAGCAGAAAGAGGAAGCTTGAGAGTTCACAAGGTTAATACTGTATGGAACAAAACTGTGACTGAATGTGGATGTTCTGCTTCAGATACCACAAAGCCCCCCCTCAGAAGGTAACAAGGAAACCAGGTACTGAAAACAGGTATTCTTCAACTATTGAAAAAGAGTTGGGGTAAGTTTGGTATTTTGTGCTAGGTTCTACTCAAGATTATCCTGAAAATCTGTTAGCAATATGGAGAAGTCAGTTGGAAAGGGAAAGGGAACCCATGCTTTCAACTCAGTGGATGCCTTAACTCTGCCTCCTTCTTTTATTCCTGCCATTTGGGAACATTCTTAGGATGCATCTGCTCAGCCCAAGCATTTAATTCCAAGATGTTGAGCTTATTGTTATAAAGATAAAATGCCCTGAGGATTAGTCAGGGAAAAATGCCTTGGGGGGGGGGGGAAGGTTCAATCAAAAGAGATTGAAAGCCATTCCTGGAAAATCATACATAAGTTGTGATAAAACTACTTTGATTGTAACTTAGCTGGAAAGGAGTTAATTCCTTTGCTGTTTGTTGTTTAATAGTCCTTGAAATCAAGTGGGACACCTGATGGAGGAAAGTAAATAAATGTTCAGGTCTTCCAGACTTCTTAGGTATTTTCAGTTTACATACTCCAGTTCTTCCAAATCAAAGTCAATACGTAGTGGCTTCTCTTCTTGCCAACTCAGAAACACAGGGAACATATAAAAATAGTTGTAATACATATTATCATGAGAGCTTATTAGTAGTTTTAATCACTGATGTCATCAAAGTAATAAAAACCCATCTGGCACAGATGTCATCAAGTCATAGACCCCTTTTTTACATGTTCAATTTCAAACTATTACTTCATGAAGGGCTAGAACAGTGGTTCTCAACTTGTGGATCGGGACCCCATTTGGGGTCAAATGACCATTTCACGGGGGTCGCCAAACAACGCAGTCTGCCATTTTCCCCCCCTTTTCCTTAGCTGTGCTGCTCCCTTTTTTCTATTGGCTTTTGAAAGCTAATAGAATAGACTCTCTTGAATAGAGTCTAATTCTATTGGCTTTCAAAAGCCAATAGGAATTGTCCAGGCTGTCTCTGCCCTGCTGAGCCCGCCAAAAGTCCCATTCTGCAAACGGTGCTGCAAACGATGCTGAGTAGTCCTCGACTTACGACCAGTTGAGTAGTCCTCAACTTACGACTGGTTGGGGGTCATGGCATTAAAAAGGTTGAGAACCACTGGGCTAGAAGGAAAAAAAAATTCTCCATTCTTGAGCAATGTAGCTTTTTTCCAAGAGAATCCCCAAGATGAAGTTATACCTAATTTTGATAGTCCCTTTTCAAAAGGTAACTGAAGAAGCTTCTTGGATGAGAAGGGAAATGTCTTCAAGGAAAAGCAAAGTCCAGTTGCTTTTTGAAAAAGCACCTTTGAGATATCGATGAGCTGGATGACTGAGAATCTCTATGGACCTAATAATTTAAGACCTACATTATTTTTCTTCCATTTACACATCAGTCTCTCTGCTGCTTGAAAACAAGTCCCCTACTTTCGCCCGGAAGTTAACAGGGCATACAACCAATGGCCTCTTTGTTAAGTGGCAGATTTTACCCTTATGTTTTGAGCATGCCTAAAGTAACTGAGAACCACTTTCGTGTAGTGGTTAAAATACTGTGTTCTAGCATTATCTTAGGCATGAAAGCTGGCTAAATGACTTTGGGCTAGTGCTAGTTGTTCTCTCTCAGCCCGAACTATTTCAGAGAGCTGTTGGTAAAGAGGAGTCTTAGGTAACACATGCCAGACATGCAACAAATTTCTGCTAATGTCTACTAATCATTTGATTTTCTCCTCAGCTGTTGCTTTTTATTTTCGACCATTTTAACTAGGGATACCCAACAAAGTATGGTTAGAAAGTTACAATGGTGTCTGTAATGGCATGATTGAAACTCCAGTATTTGCAGACATTCATGAACCCCGATTCTGATTCCAACTATCTCCTGTTAGTTTAAAGATGATGAGAAGGAGTTGCAGGGAGGAAAGATTAATATGTCCTCCTGGGGAAGATACGTTTGCATGAAACTGGGAAGAGGAGGAAGGATAGGCCGTAACTCAAACTGTATTGCTTTGAGAAAACCACAGACTAGCTAACCTAAGGTAATATATGTGAAGCTGTGTCCCATTTGAGCGTCCCAAATATTAAAATATTAAAAATGGTAGTTTAACATCAATAGGGTTCTATTCAGATATATTTTGCTGGTTGGGTTTGCACAATACTGCATACCCATAAATCAGCAGTTCATAACACTGAAAGAACTAAGCATCTAGCTACCAAACAAGATGCATATTTTTTAATAGTTATGTATTATTCCAAGCCCACTAAAATCACGGCCGTTACTATTCGCACTCTGTCAAAACCAACGCCATAATTTCCCAGCTTTGAGGATGTCACAGAGTCCTTGTCCGAATAGCATTGCCTTATCCTGCTCTTTTAACTCTTCAGTTTCTTCCGGAAAAACTTCCAATGACTTGGAAGCCAAGCGAGGGTGTGCAGACGAGCAAGTTTTCCCCATCTTGAAACTGACTAGCCAAGATTGCGAAGAACCCAAGACTCGATGGGCAGGGGCCGAAACGAATCTTCCTTGGCCTTGGGCAACCACTTCATCAATATGACATAAAGGATAATACGCTTGCTCGCCTAAGTCTACTTCCATAGTGACGTGGGGGGAGGGGGGAGAGGAGGAAGAAGACGCCTACAAGACGTTTTCCTCCTCCGCTCCCACCGGGAAAGCCGGGCAGAGAAGGGCTGAAAAGTGGGGCGCCTTTCCCTTTAAGAGGACGAGTTCCCACGATTTGACGTCAGGGTGTTTCTGCACCACAACCGGGATCTGATAACCCGTCGGGGAAGGTGGGGGGGGGGGTGAGAGAGGCAGCAAGGGCGACCGAGCAGAGCCAGGAGAGGGCAAGAAGCATCCCCGGCCGCCCGCAGCTCTCACGGCCGTTCCTCCTGCCGCAGCAGCAACCATGTCCGTGGCGGGCTTGAAGAAACAGTTCCACAAAGCGACGCAGGTAGGGCGTCGGAACCGGGGTTTCTCGAAGGAGATTCCGGGCTGGGGGGGGTGGAGTAGAGGGGGGGAAGGATGCGTGTTGACTCTTCTCGGCAGACCAGCTTTCCCGAGCTGGAGCAAGAGCCGCGGGGGGCCTCTAGGGGGCGCTGCGCTTTGCCTTCGGCGCCCGGGCCCGATGGGGTCGGTGGGTGGAAGCGGGGGCTACAATTGACCTCATTTTTTCCCCCTCCCCTTCCAACCTCCGGAGGGAGAAGAGACCCACCAGATGCCGCCTCGTAAAAGAGACGGGCTAGGAAGGCGGCGGGGGGGGGGGAAGCGGGGAGAGAAAGGGACGCGCGATTTTGTGCAGCCTCTTTTGAGCACTTCTGCAGGATACTCCGTGAAATGTTGCACCGTTCTCGCCCTTCACCCCCCCCCCAAACTCATCCCTGGGGATTGCAGTAGAGAGGGAGGGAGGGAGAGAACGTCTTGACTAGAATTTGGGCCGCCGAACCTGCGGCGAAGAGACTCCCCGTTGGAGACGCTTTCCCTGCGGGGAGACGAAAAGGCAGCGCGCGCTCTCTTGCATGCCGTCTGACCCGCTTTGATGTTCTTTCGAACGCGCTGAGCCCTGAGCTCCTCTCTCTCTCTCTGCCCCCCCTCCCTCTCCCCACCACCGAGCCTCCCTGAGGGACAGTTTGGCCCCTGCAAAGCGCGGGAGATGCCTGTTTCTGCCCCCCCCCCCGCTCAGTTGCAGCCTTTGGCGGAGGGAAGGGCGCGGGGAGGGGGGAAGGAAAGGGAGCGAAGTCCGGCGAGTGAGCTGAGGTGACAACGTGCCGGGCTCTGATTAATGGTCCCGGTGCTTTCTGGTTGGCTCGCTGGGCCTCGGTTTATGTAAACCTCTTTATCCTGCGGAGTATCCTCTCTAGGCCTGGATCTTGGCCTCCTCGGATAGAGGAAGAGCTGAGCTAAAATGAGGTCCAGGGGTAAATGGAGCTTTGAATTCAAACACCTTAACATCGCCAAGGAGTGTTTAATTTGCGCTGGGAGCCTCAAGACAAGCATGAAACCTTTGATTTGTATTTTTTATGTTTGCTTGGTGGATAATGGGCAATGAGCTCGGTGTTGATAACTAGAAGAATTCCTGCCTGAGAGAAAGATTAGTCTGTTAAATTAGTCTGCGAGAGTAGAGGACAATCTTAACTCTTTTTTTTTTTTTTTGGTTTTGGAGAAAAAGGTTTTTAAAAATTGACCTTGTCCATTGATCTGCGCCTGCCACTGGTTGTTGGTGGTTAAAAATAGATGAAATAATGCACACAGAGAGCACGTATGCCATTTTTGGAGAGAGAAAAAAATCTAGGGATTATGTTCAGTGATATTTAGGTTACACAGATGTGAATTCTAATTCCACTGGATTGGCTCACTGATTGATTTGCAGAACTGCAGTGTGTGTGGAGAGCTTGCTTTGTTTTTGATGTTTCACTTCACAAACACATTTGGTAATCGTAGATGTAAATCAAGGGTAGGAAAGCTAAGTAAATTCCATAATTGTGGGAACTTTGACCTAAATTCTATAAAGACCACAATTTTTTTGTGAACCATTAGAGCATAAAACTGTTTAAAGCGTCTTCTAACAGATCATCTTAGAGGATGGTTAGTGCCTCTATACTATAGTTTGTAAAACTTCATAGCCCTGCACTCTTTTGTCCAATAAGCAGGAGAAATAGACCTATGCTGACTAGTGGAACTGTCCTACTCACACATTTTCTATTTCTAAAAGTATGTTCTTTGGAATGTTTTTATCAGTTTGAAAATCACACAAGACTCATTTCATACATCAAAGAGAGGCCTTCACGGTATGACTAGTTTATGGGATGAAGCAGGAGGGCGTTTGTGGTGTTAAAAGTTGAAATTGGTACTTTAAACTTCAGTTATGCCTTCTGATTTGTCTGATTTGTTCTGAAGGTAACAAAAGGAAATGAAAATCATCCACATGCATGTATGATGCACTAATTGTAATATTTTGCTTTATCATTTCTATCTAATCAGTCCAGTGAAAGCTGTTAATTTGTTGAGAAGAGGGAAGCAATGTTTTTCAGGTAGTCCTCGATTTACAACAGTTCATTTAGTAAACGAAGTTACAACAGTGCTGGAAAAAGTGATGTATGAATGATTTTCACACAGCCATTGAAGGATTCCCAAGGTTACCTGATCAAAATTTGGACAATTGGCAACTGACTCGTATTTATGACAGTTGCAATGTCCTGGGATCACATGATCACTTTTTGCAACTGACAAGCGAAATAAATGGGGAAACCAGATTCACTTAACAACTGTGTTACTAACTTAACAACTGCAGTTACTCACTTAATAAATGTGGTGAGAAAGGTCATAAAATGGGGCAAAACTCACTTAACAAATGTCTCATCTAGCATCAGAAATTTTGGGATCAATTTTGGTCGCAAGTCGAGGACTACCTGTAATTCCATCAGTAACAAAAATCCTGTGAGTTGATGTGTTTGGTTTATACGAAGAGAGGATATATCTCCTTACAAAGTTTACCATGTCTGATTCCATTTCAAGTATGTGCCATTACAGTCATGCTCTAAATACAGTGAATAAAAAGCAATCCTGAGTAGTCTTTCTGAGTAATCTATAGTCTTATGGCCCTTAATAGGTAAGCATAAATACTTGTTCTGAAGAAAACTTAACACGGTGTTTATCATTATTTTGAACAATGCGAACATATTTTTAGAAATATGCAAAGCTAAATGCAAAAACCTCAGAAATCTTAGCTAAAATATATTTTTTGAACCTCTTTGCATTTTTTTGTTCTGATTTACAATGAAATTGGCTCAGTTTCCTTGAAATGCTTCTAGCTAGAGTTGAGCAGATGAGTTTGGTGGTTCCTTGTCCTTCGTTCACCTCTTCAGTCGATTATGACTCTGAAATAACATAATCTGGTAAGTCTAAGGTCCATATATGTTTCTTATACTTTCCATCAGCTGCATAAGATAAAAGCTACCCATTCTTCAAGAATTTTGGTATTAAAAATATCTTGTGTTGATATGCTTGATAAATCTTAATGTTGCCATAAGTGCCACAATTTTTAAACAAATGGTGTAACAAAAGAGAGTTGGGAGCCCAATGAGAAACTCATAATGATTGGCAGATAAATAATTGGGTGATACTTTCTGATTTCCTGCCTGAGCAGAAAGTTGGATTAGAAAGATCTCCAAGGTCCCTTCCAATTCTGTTATTCTTTTAATAGGAGTTTAATAATCAGTTTCTTAGTCCCTTTGTTTTCAATTTCAGTAGTATTTTAGTTCAGTTGCCCTCCAACTGAAGAAGTTCAGGACACCAGCAGAACATGAGTAGTCACATCTAGGACATGATCAGAAAATAACTCCATTGCAGCAGTTCACTGCAGAGGTGGTACTGTATTGGTCCTCTCCGTTACATAAGCAATGTTAGGTAGGATGAAAACTGAATGCTGTGTGATGGGAAGTAGCTTTTGATGTAACTTAAAAGTTATTTTTCCTGCATACTTGGGAAAGAAGCTTCCAGAATTTTCAGTAGTCGGTACATGCAGGTTTATATGTGCCACTTTTGTTCCTAGTTTCTTAAATGGCATATTTTTATTCCTATAGTTGAAAGATTTTTCCAAGTCTATGTGGACATAGCTGAGTTAGAAAGCTGATAGGTGTTACTGGTGTACCTGTTTTCCTCCTCCTTTTTTTTTTTTTTTTTTTTTTTGCTTTTTCTGCTGATAAAGGAACAAGTCACAGGTTAAGATTAATCCCTTAAATTTTGAGAGAGGCTTAAGATATCCCTACTGGGAATAAGGGTAATTCAGTTCCTAATGAGTAAGATTTAAGGTTTGTAAATCAATTTAGCAAGTGCTGAGGTTACAGCTGAGAGGAAAAGGTTTTGAGATTTACACAGCTGTGAAGTGTTGAAGTTAATGAAGCTGCTTTTGGTGAAGATGGTTGAGGAAAATTATGGGACAAAATGTGAAATTTCTGCAAAGGTCCTGAAGATAAAGTGCAGAGGCTAAAAGTGTTGTCCTTAATCATTACATGTGGTGATAAAGGCTACTGAGGGTCACTTTGCATCAAACCTAACTAATATGGCCAGTAGTGAAGAACGATAAAATTGCAGTCTTCATAACAATGGAAGGTCACATTCTGACCATTTATGGTGTAGTAAGAACACATGCATCAGTTTAGCCGATTACTATAGTGTTTGTCTGATTATTTGACTTTTTCACTTAGTTGGTATCTCCCATCTGTCACCTACTAGATAACCCTTCTGTGTAATATTTCAGCTATCAGTTCTTTCAAAGTATTGCCTGTGTTAGAATATTCATCTTTGGAAATGTTAAGACTAACATGGCTTACTTCAGAATGTCAACAGAAAAATCAATCTACATCTAAACCATCTAAACATGGGAATCCTACTGCTCATTTATCTTAACGATCAAATTGGATGCACTATAAAGATTGTGTCTATTTGGAGAGGCCTGAATTTTTATTTTTGTATAATTCTTTTTTATTTTTTAGCAAAGAAAGATGGAAGGAAATCTTTCTGACATTGCAATATTTAAATATGAATATTAACTTTGTGGCCCTAGACAAAGAGTGGACAATCTGGAGGCTATATGTGACTGCCAGTCCAAATTGCAGACTTGAAATTCAGTGGTCAAAATGCATAGATCTCAGTGGTGTAGTTTTGGTTTTTTGAGGATTTTAAGGTTTGGGATGAAATTGTTTACCTCATAGAGGTCTACAGTTTCCATTTGCATTTATAATCACCTAGAAACCTGGGGCAAATGGGTCAACCCTTTCTGGTGTCGTCATTAGAAGCTTCAGAGTGTCTCCTGCTGTCATCTAGAGCAGTGGTTCTCAACCTTTCTAATGCCGCGACCCCATAATACAGTTCCCCATGTTGTGGTGACCCCCAACCCACTTATACATCACTGGGTGCCAGGGGCGTGGCCAAAGAAAAGGAAAAAAATGGCGG